AGCGGGGCAGCGTCGGGTGGACGGTCACCGACGTGGGGCTCATCGCGAGGTCGGCGGTGGTGAGCGTCTTGCGCAGGTTGCCGAAGCTCAGGTTCGCCGAGTTGATGCGGGTGCAGGAGTCCAAATCGTTGGTCGTGAAGGCGCTGCCGTTCCAGTACTGGGCTGCCACGGGCAGGGCCAGGGCGCGATTGGCCGCGCCGATGGCATTCTGCAGCCGCAAGCGACCATGGCGCAGAGGGATTGACCCGACGAGTGTGGCGTCCGCCCCATTGGCGGGGCTGTCGGTGTCCAGGTTCAGCGTGCGCATGCCGACGCTGTCGGTGTCGACCGCCGCCAGGCCGAACTGGGCGGTGGCGAAGGGGCCATCGGCCGAGGTCGCCCTCGGCACGTTGGCCACCAGCGTGGTGTTCGCCGCAACGCCCTTGGACCATGTGCCCGCCGAGCTGACCGGGTTGAGCCGCACGCCGGGCTTGAACGTCGTCGTGCCCTGGATGCCGGCCAGGCCGAACACGTTCGGCGTGCCGAGTGCCAGCTTGGCGAAGCTGCCTTCGTAGTTGGTGGTGGTCGTGCCGCTGGCGCTCTGTGCGGTCAGCGTGAAGGCCAGCTGGAAGTTCTCGTCCAGATAAGTGAAGGCGGAAGCCGGGCTGCAGGCCGCCGCGACACGGTGGGTCACGACCGGGTTGCTGAGCGCGAAGCCGGCCGGGACGAAGCGGCCCACGTTGCCGGAGGCGGTGCCCGTCACGTCGCCGGTGCCGAGGTAGTCGGCATCGGCCACGCTCGGCGTCAGCGTGATGATGCCCACCTCCGACCAGTTGAAGGTCGTGCCCGTGGCCACGCCGCTGGTGAAGCTGCCGAAGCCGGTCGGGTTGGCCAGCGAGCCGCTCGCACCGCCCGCCGGCAGCACGAGGGCATGGGTCAGGCGCACGCCTTCGGCGGGGGTCTCCAGGCCGTAGCTGGGTGTCGTCGCGCCGGCGCTGTTGCGCGCGGTGACGGTGACGGAGAAGTCCCGGCCCGCGCCGATGAAGGCTGGGCCGGTCGCCGAGGTC